CGGAACGTCTTCTGTTACAAATAAAGTCCAGTTGTTTTTGTATTGAACGTTTTTTGAGTCTAACCTGGAATTTAACCATTTTTTTCTTATTGCACAGATATATGTTTTTCTCAGACTGGGAGGCAGCAAATGGACAACCAGGCCTTGAGCGGGCCTTCATGGATGGAACCAACCGCTATGGGATTATTGGCAGTAAACTAGGCTGGCCTGCTGGCATCACCCTTGACATAGAGTCCAAGCGCATCTATTGGGTTGACAGTCGTTATGACTACATTGAAACTGCAACATACGATGGTCTGCATCGGTAAGTTTCACGTTTCATTCTCCCTCATCTTTACATCCTAAAATATTTTAGACAAACACTTGTTTTCAAGAATTACATATGATTCACAAGCGGTACGATTTGCACATATTGATTTCGAATGAGTACTTCTCATGGACATTCTTCTAACAGAAAAACTGTTGCTCATGGAGGTGCTGTGGTCCCACACCCATTTGGGATCAGTTTGTTTGAGCACAATGTCTATTTCACGGACTGGACCAAGATGGCTGTGATAAAAGCAAACAAGTTCATTGACAATCAACCTCAAGTGATTTACACAACATCTCAGACCCCACATGGAGTAGCAGTGATACACCGACTGAAACAACCTCAAGGTACGCCCATTATTGAGTCAAGTCTTTTATCTGTGGAGAGCTATAGATTCAACTCATGCTTATTTTATATATTTTGTAAAAACACAATGGAAATTTACATGAATTTTGTAAGTGCAAGGGTTTTCAAAGAGGATAATTTAACCTTAAATGTGTTTTCTAGAAACTTGGATTGTTTTCTTGTGTCTCCAGTGCCAAACCCTTGCAGTGTAGACAGAGGTGGATGTGAGCAAATCTGTGTTTTAAGTCACAGGAGTGACAATGGAGGTCTTGGATACCGTTGCAAATGTCGCTTGGGTTATGATCTACATGCTGATGGCAAACGATGTATGGGTAAGTGAAGATGTCCCTGTTAAACAATAGTGATTTAGTACCCTTTATCATTTTGAAAATGGTGTGAGTTATCATTTATCAGACTATACCATCACAGAATGATCCTTTTTGGACTTTTTTAAAAGTCACTGGGTCTGACACCATTCAGTAGAATGTTTTTAATGCTTATTTCTAATTTCCTTTGTGCAGCTGTGAGGCAGTTTCTGCTGTTCTCCAGCCAGCTGGCTGTGAGGGGAATCCCCTTTAACCTCTCCTCTCAGGAGGACGTCATCCTGCCCATCACTGGATCGCCCTCCTACTTTGTCGGAGTGGATTTTAGCGCTGAGGATGATGCTATCTTCTTCTCAGACACAGCAAAAGATATTATCTACAAACAGAGAGTGGATGGAACAGGTGAATGTCTTTAAACAGAAGGGTCAACATGATGTGGAGTGTAGGAAACTAACACACAATATGTTTTCACTATTTTTCCTGTTCTTTATTCTTGAGTGGTTGTTTTTGCTGTGGAGAGCCCTTCCATGTGATTCAGTTGGGATAACAAAAGGTTTAGAGAGGGTATGATGGGGCAAGCTGGTAACACAGGAAAGCAAATACTGATAGGTAAGGATAGCTAGTTCCTAAAAATAAAAATAACCATTTATAGTGTTTTACTAAGCTTTTTCGATATACAGTATGATATCTCATCTGTCACTGAGGTAGGGGAAGTAGCCACTGTGGAAGTGAACCACTGCTCTGAGCTGCAGTGTTATTTCAGGAGTTGCTTTAGTTTTTTTTTTTTTTCTGTCCAGTTCACGAGAGGAAAATGCAAGCTGACAGCCTATTTATTTAAACGTATTCCTCTTTCATCTCCAAGTTAAACGGCGCTCTGACTGCTTTGATCTGTACAGGCAGGGAGATCCTGGCAGCCAACAGAGTGGACGGAGTGGAGGACCTGGCTTACGACTGGATTTCAAAAAACCTGTACTGGACTGACCCTCGATACAGGAGCATATCTGTCATGAGGCTTGCTGATAAATCCAGGAGGGCCATTATACGTAACCTGAACAACCCAAGGGCCATTGTGGTGCACCCTCTAATTGGGTAAATTAATGTTATCGCCAAAGAACAATGAGATATTTTCTACTGTCACCTCTTCTGCAAGAAGATTTTGTAAAACAGGTTATTCATCACTAATAAAACCAGAAAACAGTAAAATTGTACTTCATTGGTTTGCATTAGGTTTGTTTGGTTCTTAAATGCTTTTAGCCAATTGACAATTCACATGTACCGGTACTTTCTGAACTACATTTAGTAAACATCATTTAGCAAGACTATCTGTTTTACCTCTTTAGTCTACTTACAATCACTCATAATATAGAGATGTTTGTAGTTTTATGTTCGAAAACATGTATGAGGTAATCACCCATTATAAACTACCTCATACATAAGCCTCACCTGATAAAAGTAATTATTTAAAGCAAGCTGTTATTTCCTGTTGTCTCAAAGTCATAAGGTCTCTGCTTCCAACAGCTGAGATTAGCTCAGTATGAAGGGCAGTATTGTAGTTAGCGCTAAGAGGTTGGCTTAAACAGAAAAGCTGTACATTGCAAGCATAAAAAAGTAAGCTTGAATAAAAATCAGGAAGAGTTTGGTAGCATTTGGTGACATATTTAAATAAATAATGACGTTAAGCCTTCTTGTTCATTTGGATTTTTCAGGTATATTTTTTGGACTGATTGGTACCGGCCTGCGAAGATTATGAGGGCTTGGTGTGACGGGTCACATGCTGTGTCTATTGTAAACACCACTCTTGGCTGGCCAAATGGCTTAGCCATTGACTGGAGGTGAGCCAAATGTCTCACATCTAATTGTTCAGCATAACAGTGCCCCAATATACCTTTACGTTCTTTTCAGTTTGACAAGAATTCACTCTATTTTAGCTACAATTTTTTTTCCTTTTATAAAAATGACCTTTTTGAGAAAAAAAAGATCTCTCCTGTTGATGTATTGATCTCTTTGCCTGTATTCTATCTTTGTGTTCCTCTTGATTTCCACCCAGCTCAATGCGTCTTTACTGGGTGGATGCATTCTTTGACAAAATAGAGCACAGCAATTTTCATGGACAAAACAGGCTTTCTTTGGATCGTATAACCCAGATCTCCCATCCATTTGGCCTCACCATTTTTGAAGGTAAATCTGGGCTTTTACAATAACATGTCTCTGTAGGCAGTTCAGGGTCATTTCTTCTAAAAAAGAGTGCTGCCTATGGTCTGATGGTCCTGCTTTAATCATGGTCCTGCCAAAAGAGCACTTGATGTTCAAAGGAGGCGATGAAAGATAACATTTTTATTGCTTCTCTCACATGAAGGCTATGCATATTTCACTGACTGGCGACTGGGTGGCATTGTGCGTGTGCGCAAGACTGATGGTGGGGAGATGGTCATTATCCGAAGAGGAATCAGCCACATCATGCATGTCAAGTCTTTCAACTCCAACTCTCAGATCGGTCAGTAGCTTCATTCAGTGTTCTTTTGACTTTACCACTCATGTATAGCTGCAGATCACATCTGTCATCTGTCCATCCATCACTCCATTTTCTTTACACACTTCTTCTTTATGTGTCGCAGGGAGCTAGTGTCTATCTCCAGCAGTAAATGTGCAAAAGGCAGGGTACACCCTAGACAGGTCACAAGTCTATCACAGGGCCACATAGAGGCAAATGAAACAACCATTTACTCTCTCAACCACACATAGGGTGAATTTAGAGTTCCCAGTTAAGCCAACATGCGTTTTTCATTGGGAGGAAACTGGAGCACATTGAGAAAACCCACACATGTACAGGGAGAACTTGCAAACTTCAGTCAGAAAGGGCCCAGGCCTGAAGCCAAGTCGGTGTCCCTCTTATTGAAAGACTACAGCTTTAATCACTGTTCCACTGTGTTGCCCATGTATTTGTCATACTTCTGATATGGATCTTTCATCCACCCCCTTCTCAGGTTCCAACCTCTGCAACAGGCCAACAAATCCTAATGGAGACTGCAGCCACTTCTGCTTCCCAGCCCCAGACTCACAGAGAGTGTGTGGCTGCCCATATGGCATGAAGCTGTCGCCAAACCAGCAGACGTGTGTTGAGGACCCTTCCAACGAGCCCCCCACGTTGCAGTGTGGAGCCAACTCTTTCTCCTGTGGCAACGGCAAATGCGTTCCGCACAGCTACAGATGCGATGGTGTTGATGACTGTCATGACAACAGCGATGAAGCCAACTGTGCAATGAACAGTAATCCATTTTCTCACCAAACTTTCTAGAGCTAAAACTGGGATTTTGTTCAGGTGACGTCAGTATGATATAATCAGATCTTCATCTGTTTTGTTTTCTAGACAACACTTGTTCCCCCTCTGCCTTCACATGTGCCAATCAGCGCTGTGTGCCTTCAGGATGGCGATGTGATGGGCACAATGACTGTTTTGATAACAGCGATGAGACTAATTGCCCTACACAATTGCCTGGAACGTGCCCTGCCAACCAGTTCACCTGTGTCAACCACCGGTGTATCCCACTCACCTGGCGTTGTGATACAGATAACGACTGTGGGGATGGTTCAGATGAAGCAGACTGCCGTGAGTTTTCTCATCTTGTTTAACAGCAGGTTGGGCAAAAATTTAATTTTCAAGAGGGCCACACTGACTTAGTTAAAGCAATTGTAGGATTACACATTAAATTGGAAAAAATATATTATTTAGGACATTTTTGTTTGAGTTTTCTTTTAGGGCTTTTCCTCCCTTTTCCCTTGATGACATATTTGTAGCATTGAATAAATACTGAGATACTCAACGCACCAAACATGCTGTGAACTAACATATAGATGTCAACTTTAGTTTAAAGAATTGCCTATTTTGTTTTTAAGTGTTTGAATTTGTTTCTATCAGTACAAATGTTGACCTCACTAAAAATCTAAGGACTATTCTAGTCCAAAAGCTTTAGATTGTTGTGGTTTTAGATATATAACCAATAAAGAATAAAAAAAGGAAGCTCATATTTATATCTGCCTATTTGTGTTGACAGATCTAGGAGGTACATGTCATCCAGGACAGTTTCAGTGTCCAGATCATCGCTGTATAGATCCTAACTATGTTTGTGATGGAGACAGAGACTGTGTGGATGGAGCAGATGAACAGGGGTGCAGTAAGTCGCTTTCTAGATTAAATGCAACACATTCTGTGTTTCTTTTTTCCACTTTTATCTGATTCATAAAATTAATAAAATTCTGTTTACTATAATGTAATACATACATTTCAATACCTCATGCAGGCATTTATCATATAAGAAACACCAGTTTCCAGAGGAGGTTGTTAGGGTCAAATACATTCTTTGTTAAATGGAACAAGCATTTTTAAACCTAGTTTATTGCTCTGAATAGCTGTATTGTGCAACATTTCAATGTAACACAACTGGAAAACTATTTCAAGTTAGCATTTACATTCTCGCCTGAAACATTTCAGTCTACAACTGCACTGTGAGCGAGTTCAAGTGTGCCAGTGGTCACCAGTGCATCAACTCCTTCTATCGGTGTGATGGAGTCTTTGACTGCAGCGATCGCTCTGATGAACGGAACTGTCGTAAGTATTTACATCCTACTCCGTCTTGTTATTCGCTGCAGATGTATTGTAACTTTGACTCCATTTTATATATCTCAGCCACTAGGCCTCCAGGGATGTGCCACCATGAGAGTGAATTTCAGTGCCAGTCCGATGGGAGCTGTATTCCGTCTATGTGGGAGTGCGATGGCCATCCAGACTGCCAGGATGGCAGCGATGAACACCACGCCTGCCCGCCTCGTACCTGCCCTTCCTCATTCTTCCGCTGCGATAATGGAAATTGTGTGTTACGCAGTTGGCTTTGCGACGGCGACAACGACTGCAGGGACATGAGCGATGAAAGAGACTGTCCCTCACCACCTTTCCGGTGTCCAAGCTGGCAGTGGCAGTGTCCCGGCCACAGTGTTTGCATCAATCTCACCACAGTGTGTGACAACACGCCTGACTGCCCGAATGGTGCTGATGAGTCTCCACTTTGCAGTAAGTTGCATCTGCTGCTTTTGTCAACAAACAATCAAAACAATAACCTAGACACATGTTTGATTCAATATAAAAGCATAAATGTTTTATGTAAATCTACCGTTTAAAAATATAACTTGTTGACTAAAGATATAAAATACTTGTGACAAAATCACACAAAGTTATAGATTTATTTTCAGATTAAACAATTTGACTTTTTCAGTTGAGCATATTAATCTAATTACTAAAAGTAAAAATATTCAACCTGTTTAGGTTAAATCTGTTTTTATTCAAGACTGAATAAACTACTACAAAATTTGTTAGTACAAGTCCAAAAAGATTATTTTTGTTTCACTGATGTGCTTAACTTATGTCAAATGAATTCAAACATATTTGACTAAGTTTAATAAAAGAAAAATATTAACCAAGTTAAAATAAGTTTAAATAATCCATGTAAATAGAATCATATCTAGGCCCCCCACACACAAAAAAAACCTGTTAAAAAACTAGGAAACAACAAGTGAGTTATATAACGTCATCATGAAAGAAAGTCGTATAACTGTGTGGAATTTTTTTCCTTTTTAATCTTGAGTCAACAAGTCTTTAATGTGAAACACATTTTTTGTGCTTTAATATCTGTTTTATTTTCAGTAACATTGAAACATCTCACATCAAACACGATTCTTATCTGAACTGATTGTGTTTCATTTTCCTAGTTCTTGAAATGTATAAAAATAATTCACATTTATTCACAGAAAATTTATGTTGAATGACACCAACTTGAACTTATATTCTTGTGTTTAAATCAAGCATGTGTGTGTGTGTGTGTGTGTGTGTGTGTGTGTGATTTGTCCTGTTATTAATCTGAAAATGATCTGTGATTTTCCCCTCTTGCCTCTCTCACAATTTTCAGATGAGCCTTTACCAGGTAGGAACAAACTCTTAATCATTGATAGAAATGCTGCGTGTAGTTTTGATTCATTTTTCATAAGATGCGTCTCCATTAATGATTTTTGTCATAGATTTTCATTATTCACCACGTGCTGCGTTTGTGATTAAAATTGTTATGGCACAGATAAACCTATTCTAAGGACAAGCAATGAAAGTAGTCTTTGCTTTTGGTGTCCATCGTCATCAGAGTGCATCGTGTTTGGAATAGATTTTCAATTCTAAATTATCTTTTTCCTGCTTTCAACCCAGATCAGGAGAGTTGCTCTGATAACAATGCTGGCTGCACACATGGTTGTATCCAGGGGCCATTTGGGGCTCAGTGCACATGCCCTGTGGGCTATCAACTCAGCAATGACTCTAAAACATGTGAAGATATTGACGAGTGTAATCCCCCAGGACTTTGCAGTCAGCACTGCTTTAATGAAAAAGGGTCTTTCCGCTGTCACTGCCAGGATGGTTACGCTCTTGAAGCAGACCAACGTACCTGCAAAGCATCAGGTGAGAAAAAAAGTCCTAAAACTCTCTGTGGATGGAATAATGAAGTAAAATGCTTTTATGATCAGCCCTGCTGTGATTTAAGCTTCAACATATTTTACCTTCCACTCCGCCAGCTGTTGAGAAGGAGCCCCAATAAAGGAGGAGCTGGGCCCTGACTGCCAGACAGCCTTTTCTTCTCCCGTGTCTTTCTTTGCTTCTCTGATTTCAAAAGATAGGACAAATAACATATATGTCAGTCACTGACCATCAGCGGTGTAATTAGAACATAATCACAAACAAAGGGCTGTTTATGGTGGAAGCGTGCCTGACATGAGCTCCCTCTTCCCCCACAGATAACCCCCTGAAAGCCTTTGCAACACAATAGGACATTATTTGGACAAACATGCATTCCCAGAGGAGTGCCATTTGATTAGGGTCTATTTAACAAACTAGCTGTGGCTGTGGTCCATACACACAAACACTGATAAGTGCTCTTATTAGCATGAAAATGAACATGGAAAAAGTAACAAAAGTTTGATGACTGTGTTTTCTAGATTTGAGGCAGGCGCTCCTGCTTGTGGCCAGTCGAAACCAGATTGTGCAAGACGACATAACCACTCAACCTAATGTAGTCCGGTCACTGATTCGAGATGGACGCAACATTGTGGCCCTTGATTTTGACTCTGTCTCTGATCGCGTGTACTGGTCTGACACAAGCCAGGACAGAATCTGGAGTTGTCACAAGAATGGCACTAATAGAACTGTGGTAAGACAGTGAGCTAAAATATGTATTGTGTTTATAGTTATTTGTATAATGAAAGTGTTTATTTAAGAATATTTATCTTGCAAATAGGTATTTGACAGTGGAGTGACTGTGACAGAAAGCCTTGCTGTGGACTGGGTGGGCAGGAACTTGTACTGGACTGATTACGTCCTAGAAACAATTGAAGTGTCTAAACTGGACGGCAGCCACAGGACTGTATTAGTCAGTGAAAATGTCACCAATCCTCGAGGTCTCGTGCTGGACCCTAGAGAGAGGTCAGAAGGAAGTTTGTATTCAAACTATTTGTCATTTAATGTCAGGTATTTCCACGTGCTGTTTACTGATGGTAAATTACAATTTGCTTTGCAGTGCTCACTTGATGTTTTGGACTGACTGGGGGAGGAACCCTCGCATTGAGCGGGCAAGCATGGATGGGAAGCTGAGGACAGTGATCATAGCCAGCAAACTGTACTGGCCCAATGGTCTAACCATAGACTATCCAAATAATTTACTGTATTTTGCTGATGCTTACTTGGATTTTATTGACTACTGTGATTACAATGGCAACAACAGGAAACAAGTTCTTGCCAGTGACCTGGTGAGTCTGTAGTGACAAAACTTAATTTTAATATTATCACCAAAGATTACTTACATATTCGTTATTTAAACACAAACATAAGATATTTGATATTCTCTTAAATGGCATGAATTAGACACATCTTTTTTTTCCTTTTGCTACTCTCTATAAAAAGGTACTGCAACATCCCCACGCAATTACCATTTTTGAGGATTTTGTCTATTGGACCGACAGATACATCAACCGAGTGATGCGAGCTCATAAGTGGCATGGGGAGAACCAGACAGTGATGCTCTTCAACCTGCCTCAGCCCATGGGTCTGGTAGCAGTACACCCAGCCAGGCAGCCATCAGGTAGGACAAATAAATTTAGCATAATCTAATGTGTTGCATCAATGCAACTCACTGCAAGTGGTTTGACTGTGGTCAGTCTGTAATACAAACCGGTGTGAATCTGTGAAGATTACTCACCTGGTTTTGTTTGATTTGACTAATTGTAGGACAGAACCATTGCTTGAGGAGTCCTTGTACACATATCTGTCTACTTTCTGCTGTGGGACCAAGATATTATTCATGTGCCTGCCCCTCAGGCTGGACTCTGGCAGCCAACGAATTCACCTGCACCAGAGGTATGCATGCTGCCAAAAGAAGGAAAACACTGATCACTTATCATGGTTAAAAAGGAAGTCGAAGTTGATGTATTTGTCAGATATTATTCTAAGCATTGCTTACTATTATAAAAAAATAAAAAACGTTAAAGAAAAGATGATTTTCACATATTTTCTGGAGAGAGATATTTTCACATCATTAACAGGATAAACCTTTGAAAACATTATCCTTGTGTTATCAATTGATCCAAGCACTTGTCAACAACCTCCCATTTAGACTTTCTTGTAAAGCTGGTGTTCCAGACATAAATATTAGGAATCATATAAGTGTGCCTTTCACGGTCTCAAGAAGACAAGGGACCTTTAAGTCAAAGTCCAAGGAGTCTGCCGTAGGTCAGCAGCTTAACTTATCTCAGGTTTCAGACTCTTCTACCCAAGCAGAATGCAATCTCCTCTGAAGCCAATGATTATCCAAGAATGAAAATGCCCTACAACCATTCATTTACTCTAATCTCCAATGACAACACAAATCAGATTGTGGAACCAGCTTTCATCAGTCAATACAATTTAAGGAACTTTTTAGCTTGAGATCCCTAATGTGTACCAAATATTCTAGTGTTGGTTTTTAATTATCATGGACTAAAGCTACATCACTGCTGCATGTCATCCCAGTTCTGTTTTTGAATTTGTTTAATCAATTTAAAATATTAGCTAGTCCATTTCCTTTGAAACTTTAAAAAGAAGAGACTGCAGTTGTGTTCTAGTTCCCGTTTCGTAAATGTGTGAACACTGGTGTTGATATTGTTGTTTGATATTGTTGTTTCTCTTGTAGTTGAAGACCCTTTTCTGGTGGTTGTGAGAGACAGTATCATCTACGGCATTCCTTTAAACCCAGAAGATAAGAGCAACGATGCTATGGTTCCTGTGGCTGGTCTTCACAATGGTTATGATGTTGACTTTGATGATAATGAACAGACCATCTACTGGGTGGAACACCCAGTAAGTCAGTATTTGCTCTCCTATCACGCCACAATAAAAAAAGAACTTAAGTTTGATGTCATTGAAAGTTTATATCAATAAATTAATTTTAATGTTCTTGATCTGTTTGGGACTTGCAAACCAAATGTTCAAGTAAAACGTTTGAATTCCTGAATAGATCAATATTGTGCATTAGGTGGTCAATTTGTCCTCCTTTGTCCTCCAGGGGGAAATCCACAGGGTGAAATCAGATGGTACTAACAGGACAGAGTTTGCCCCTGCAGCCATTCTTGGCTCCCCTGTTGGCCTGGCTTTGGACTGGATAACTGAGAATCTGTATTACACCAATCCAGCTACACAGTCTATTGAGGTGAGCCATCCATCCATCCATTTTCTTCCGCTTATCCAGGGTCGGGTCACGGGGGTAGCAGCCTAAGTAGGGAGGCCCAGACTTCCCTCTCCCCAGCCACTTGGTCCAGCTCCTCCGGGGGAATCCCGAGGCGTTCCCAGGCCAGCCAAGAAACATAGTCCCTCCAGCATGTCCTGGGTCTTCCTCTGGGTCTCGTCCCGGTGGGACGTGTCCGGAACACCTCACCAGGGAGGCGTCCAGGAGGCATCCTGAAGAGATGCCCAAGCCACCTCAACTGGCTCCTCTCAACGTGGAGAAGCAGGGGCTCTACTCTGAGTTCCTCCCGGATGATCGAGCTTCTCACCCTATCTCTAAGGATTGAGCCCAGACTCCCTGCGGAGAAAACTCATTTCGGCCGCTTGTATCCAAGATCTTGTTCTTTCGGTCACAACCCAAAGCTCATGACCATAGATGAGGGTAGGAATGTAGATCGATCGGTAAATTGAGAGCTTTGCCTTTTGACTCAGTTTTCTCTTCACCACGACAGACCTGTACAGCACCCGCTTCACTGCAGATGCTGCACCTATCCGCCTATTGATCTCACATTCCATTTTTCCCTCATTCATGAACAAGACCCCAAGATACTTGAACTCCTCCACTTGGGGCAGGGCCTTCTCCCTGACCCAGAGAGGGCACTCTACCCTTTTCCGACTCAAGGCCATGGCCTCGGATTTGGAGGAACTGATCTTCATCCCGGCCGCGTCGCACTCGGCTTCGAACCGCTCTAGCGAAAGCTGTAGATCATGATCTGATGAAGCCAATAGGATCACATCATCTGCAAAAAGCAGGGACGCAATCCTAAGGCCACCAAAACAGAACTCCTCAAAACTTTGGCTACGCCTAGAAATTCTGTCCATAAAAGTTATGAACAGAATTGGTGACAAAGGGCAACCTTGGCGGAGTCCAACTCTCACCGGGAACAAGCCCGACTTACTGCCAGCAATGCGGACCAGGCTCTGACACCGGTCATACAGGGACCTAACAGCCCGTATCAAAGGGCCCAGTACCCCATACTCCCAGAGTACCCCCCACAGGGTTCCCCGAGGGACACGGTCGAACGCCTTCTCCAAGTCCACAAAGCACATGTAGACCGGTTGTGCAAACTCCCACGCACCCTCCAGGACCCTGCTGAGAGTGTAGAGCTGGTCCAGTGTTCTACAACCAGGACAAAATCTGCACTTCTCCTCCTGAGTCCAAGGTTCGACTATCCGACGGACCCTCCTCTCCAGAACCCCCGAATAGACCTTACCAGGGAGGCTTAAGAGCGTGATCCCCCTGTAGTTGGAACACACTCTACGGTCCCCCTTTTTGAATAGGGGGACCACCACCCCGGTCTGCCAATCCAGGGGAATTATTGAGGTGAGCAAGTTGGTCAAATAAAATATTCATTAAAATTAAATCAAGTGTCGCCTCACAAGTACGTACTTACTTACAAATCTACCAACCAACCAATGTTACCTATTTAAATGTTTCCTTTTTACTTATTTACATGTTACTTATGTATGTTCCTATGCACCTATTTATATTTTTATTTACTTTTTTTTTGTGTTTGCCCAGATTTTAAAGTTGAGAGGCGAGGTACAGTACCGGAAAACTCTAATCACTAATAATGGTTTGCCGACTGGAGCTGGCAGTCCTGTTGGGATTGCAGTAGATCCAGCACGTGGGTAAGCCCCATGCATTACTGTTCTGGCACAGCTACTTAAATCTGCAGCTATTGAACTCTGTCACCATCTACATCACCCTATGTTCCAAGTGTTACCCAACAACAGGTTGTAACTAAAACTTTAGCACCATACAGTCACTTAAAAAAAAGAGTTTATGCTAAATTTGATCATAACATGTTGGATTGAACAATATAAAGCATGCACTGCATGTCTTTCTAAATTGCATAAAAAAACAACAGAATTAAACAATATATTTTATTTAGCAAACTGTACTGGACAGACCAAGGAACAGAGAGTGGTATCCCTGCTAAGGTTGCGTCTGCAGACATGGATGGCACGAATCCAGTGAACCTGTTCACCCACAACCTGGATCACATAGAGTTCCTCACTGTGGACATCAAAGAAAACAAGCTGTACTGGGCTGTAACAAGCACTGGCAAAGTGAGTTTTTATTTTCTGTGTTCTCTTTAAAATTCAGGTAATAAAGATATGTTTGCACCTTAAATTGGATGTACAGTAAATACTTTTTGTAAAGACATTACCAGTGTTCTTTTGTGCATTAAACTTCCACAGATTGAACGGGGTGATGCAGATGGAAGTAATCGCGTCACCATCGTGACAGGTCTGTCTCATCCTTGGGGTGTGGCTGTTTATCAGAGTTACCTGTACTTCACTGACCGTGACTTTGAGGTCATAGAGCGTGTGGACAAGTCCACTGGTGCCAACAAGGTTGTGCTGAGAGACAACGTATCTGGACTTAGAGTCCTAAAAGTTCATTTTCGAGAACGTGAGTAGCAGAATTGCTCATAATTGTTTAATTTACCCAGTTTACATACAACATTAATTCTTGCCCTTTTTTTTTTTTTGTTGTATTTGTCACAATATGCTTTCTCTACAAACTCAGAATCTGCAGGTACATCTAATGGCTGTGGTGACAATGTGGGAATGTGTGCACAGCTCTGTTTGCCACGACCACAAGGCCTTTTTACATGTGCATGCACAACAGGTTTTAAACTCAATACTGACAACCGGACCTGTACTCCTTACCAGTCCTATGTTGTCGTCTCTACTCTGTCTGCCATTAAAGGCTTCAGTCTGGAAGGGTCTGACCACTCTGATGCCATGGTCCCTGTGGCTGGGAGAGGTCAGTAACAATAACAATATGCCAGTAAAAAACGTGAGCTGAATTAATGAGTGTTAAATTGTTCTCTTACAGGCCGTAATGCACTCCACATTGATGTGCACATGGCTTCTGGTTTCTTATACTGGTGTGATTTCAGCAGCACAATGGCAATACAAAACGGGGTCCGACGTATAAAGCCTGATGGCTCAGGATTACATAGTGTAGTTACATCTGGAATTGGTCGCAATGGAATTCGAGGCATTGCTGTGGACTGGGCTGCAGGTAAGCTGTTGCGTTTATTTAGCTATATTTTGTCGATGCCTTACGAGCCACGTGGAGCCATACGGAAAATTTCTGTGAATGGAAAAGTCAGTAAATAAGGAACCTAGTGTTTTAACATTATGAACTGTGTTGCCAAAGTAAAAAAAAGGTTAAAAGACACAATTTGTATAGAACATCTGTAAAAAATATGATGTCTTTAGCAATATTATATTCTCAAATACCACTTAAACTCCTTAACAAACTATGTAAGAAGGGCAAGCTGAAGGTTTTGCAATGGCTTTCATCTTTTTTGGGTCATAAATGTCTTGTATGGACCATGTTCCCAGATTTTCCTGAAATGTACAGCTTTTTGAAAAGAAAATGGTAAAAAGAAATCTAAAAAATTGTTAAAAAAAAATCATAGCTGGCTAAAGAATGTTACAAGCCGAGTTGTAAAATTGTTGTGATCAAGTACTCACCTTACTGTAGACCAAGATTTTTACTTCAGGTGATCTTCTTCTTTTTCAGCTATTTACACTAACATAAATGCCACTACAGTAACCAAAACTTTGCATGTTACTTTTCAGTTAAAGCTATCTTAAAGTTGCAAATTTAGGTTCTGTAATAATTGAAAATCATGCTGTCAAGTCCTCTTTCAAGTTTATTTCTGAGATTTTACTAGCAAATACACATCATAATATCACTTACGGATGTCCTATTTGATTTTGTCTTCAGGCAATTTGTATTTTACCAATGCCTTCCTGACTGAGACCTACATTGAGGTACTTCGCTTGAACACCACTTTCCGCAGGGTGCTGTTGAAGACCCAGGTAGATATGCCTCGCCACCTTGTTGTAGACCCCAGAAATAGATACCTGTACTGGGCCGATTATGGTCAGACCCCCAAAATTGAAAGAGCACTTTTGGATGGAACCAACCGCACAATTTTAGTGTCTTCCGGGATTATTACCCCACGAGGCCTTGCTCTGGACTGGCGAACTGGCTATGTGTACTGGGTGGATGACTCTCTGGATATGATTGCTCGAATCAACCCCCATGGAGGGGAGACAGAGATTGTCAGGTTTGGCAGTCGCTACCCAACTCCTTATGGAATTACAGTGTTTGAAAATAGCATCATATGGGTGGACAGAAACCTTAAGAAGGTTTTCCAAGCGAGCAAAGAGCCAGGCAACACAGAGCCACCTGCTGTCATTAGAGACAATATCAACATGCTGAGGGATGTAACTATCTTTGACCAGCGAACTCAGCCCACCAGTGTCCAAGACTTGAACTACAACCCCTGCATGGAAACCAACGGAGGCTGTGCCCACTTCTGCTTTGCCCTTCCAGGCTCTAGCACAGGCATGCAGAATAAAAAGTGCAGCTGTGCTTTTGGGGATCTCGCAGAAGATAAAGAGAGCTGTGAGATGTCAAAGGATGATTACCTCATCTACACGACTGAGAGCACAGTGCGCAGCTTGCGACTTGATCCTGAGGACCATGCAGTACCCTTTCCTGTTGTCAACGTGCCTCGTACATCAGTGGCCCTGGATTTTGACCTTGTAGACAATAGGGTATACTTCACACAAAGCTCAGGAGCAGGAGCAAGCAAGATCAGCTACATCAGCTTGCCCTTTCCCACTTCACCTCCTGTTGTTGTGGCTTCAGGTAAGAAAACACTTCTGCAGTTCAATTAATAGTTTAACTGTCTTAGTTGTATAAATTACATGTTTTTTTAATGGTTTAACAGATCTTGGGGCTCCTGATGGAGTTGCCTATGACTGGATAAACAAACGTATTTACTACAGTGACTTTGTAAACCAAAGCATCAGTTCTATGTCTGTGGATGGCGCTCAAAGAACTATAATTGCACATGTCTCCAGACCAAGGGCCATCATGTTGGATCCCTGCCGAGGGTATGAACTGCATGGTATACCTCTTTTTGAGTTTAAACAAGACATGCTTAAGTTTTTCCCCCTCTACACAGATACATGTATTGGACAGATTGGGGAATCCATGCAAAAATTGAGCGAGCCACATTGGGTGGAAACTTTCGAACTGAGATTGTGAATAGCAGTCTGGTGTGGCCAAATGGTCTGACTCTGGACTATGAGGATGAGAGGCTTTATTGGGCAGATGCCAGCTTGTAAGATCTGAAAAATACCTCTCTGTTTGTTTTTTATATTTGTTATGTTATTTTGTTACTTTAAAACCTTGTCATTGACATAATTTTCTTTGTCATTAGACAGAAGATTGAGCGGTCCTCTCTTACGGGATCCAACCGTGAAGTCATTGTCAGCACAGCCATTTACCCATTTGCAATGACCATGTTTGGTCAATTTATTTATTGGACTGACTGGAATACCCTCAGTATCTATCGGGCTAATAAGCATGATGGCTCTGGCCTAAGGGTTATGATTCAGAACCTTCCATCTCGACCAATGGACATCCATGTTTTGGCCAGCAGGAAGCAGCAGCAGTGTGATAGTCCCTGCCAGCAGTTCAATGGAGGTTGCAGCCACATCTGCACACCAGGTACAAGCTGATAATTTGTTCTGAGTGAAGAAAATAGATTTTCTAATTCAACGCTGCATAATTTTATGTTATATAATTTGTTTAGGACCAAATGGAGCTGAGTGTCAGTGTCCAGCAGAGGGTCGCTGGTATTTAGCTGACAATAAGTATTGCATCCCTGACAATGGGACTCGCTGCCAGCCAGGCCAGTTCACCTGTATGAACGGCCGCTGCATTCGAGCCCAATGGATATGCGACAATGACAATGACTGTGCAGATGGCAGTGATGAGTTGGAAAGAGTCTGTGGTAGGCAGCTCTTAAAATAATCTAAATTACTGATATTTCTGATTTTCAATTCCTCATTCTCTATTTTTTAACCAATCTCTAGTTACCCTCCGTGTCTTAATCAGAAATCAACTTTTGTCTCCCTTTTACCTTCACTACTAACAAACGATGTTTCTTGTTCTCCTTAACAAATTCCTTTTTAAGGACCTAACCCAATCTTCAGCTATGCTGGTGTGTATTTTTACACTTATTGATTGAATTTCTAGTGACATGCTACTCCCTCATAAATAACAGAAATAAACACTAACACAAATCAATGCACCTGTTTTTGCATGCAGTCCCACAGTTGCTGTCATCCTTTATTGCCTTGTCAGGTAAAATAAGATTGTGAATGTGAATGTTAATGTATTCATTTCTCTTAAACTTGTCCTACTGGTCTTATCTCTGACCTGTTCTTGATTCTGACAGCCTTCCACACCTGTGAGCCCACAGTGTTTACTTGTGGTAATGGGAGATGTGTTCCCTACCACTACCGCTGTGACCATTATGATGATTGTGGAGACAATAGTGATGAAGTGGGCTGCCTCTTCAGACCCTGTGACCCCAACTCAGAGTTCACCTGTAACAATGGGCGTTGCATCGCAAAGGACTATGTTTGCAATGGCATTAACAACTGCTATGACAATGGGACCTCCGATGAGCAGAACTGCCGTGAGTATGGCCAAAAAAATCAAAAAGAGGTTGAGTGTCTATTTTTTAATTTTTGTAGTAAATGTGTTTAAACCTGCGGTTATTCCAGCGGAGAGAACCTGTCAGCCAGAGCAAACAAAATGTCAGTCTACAAATATCTGTATCCCGCGTTCATACCTGTGTGATGGAGACAACGACTGTGGGGATATGAGCGATGAGAGCCCAACACACTGTGGTGAGTTCACCAGTTTCAAGACTTGCATGTTTTCTGTACCAATTCAAATTCTCATTCTTATTATTTCTTGTTCAACTCCTCCAATCTTAGTGCGGTATTAGTAAATGTATGGCTCTGTATACTTTGCTTTGTTTTCCTCTGGTGACTTATTTTTACTTGGGTAATTTAAAATAGAAGCAATAATTAATGTTGGGATTACATGTTAAAGTCAAATCACTAATTGAAAACAACCTACATGTAAAAACATCACTTGTTTTTAATTTATATATACTTTACAAAATTTTCTATGTTATGTTGTAACATGTACAATAAGATGTATGATTCAAATATGTTAAATGAGATCAAATACATACAATATTCAGTATAAAAGACAAATAAAATACACAATACAATATACTTTGCAATATACAATACAGTGTACTTTTGTTTTTGAGTGTGCCATTTATATTGCTGCCTACACACAAAAATCCACCAAAAATAAAGCAATGTCACAGAATTTAATCAAAATTTACCAGTAAGATAATATACATTTTTGACATGCGCATACACACATATAATCGTCAATAGTGAACTGTGTGAGCAAATAAACAAGAAATTCAATATTACAAATAGTGTCAATACCTGGGAGAATTTTACACTGTCGTTATCATTTTTAAATATATTTAGGCACTGCTTTGTATAGTTTCTTGTACTATCTGTATAAGCCATCCATTACAGTATAGTTTTCTTTTGCTAATATTTTCATAATGAACATGTTTTGTTCACACTGTAAAACAAGATATTGTGTTAAAAAATGTTTTTTGTGTGTCAGTCATTTTGCAAATATTTTAGAATACAGTAATCCATTCTTAACCTTTTAAAAATAATAATATTGAGATGTTTAAATCCTTGTAATGCCAAACTTTTAATACGTTTAGCAAGATTTCACTTTGAACATTGTAAATACGGCAAAGCATCTTCTTGCTGCTCAGTTCCCAGAAAGTAAAATGTAATTGATCATATCCTCTAAGTGACTTTATTCTTGTCTGCTTTTTCCACATAGCTACATCCACTTGCTCCCAGAGTGAATTTCGTTGCTCCAGTGGCCGCTGCATCCCCGCCCACTGGTACTGTGATGGAGGGTCCGACTGCTCTGATGGCTCTGATGAACCCCACTCCTGCAGTGAGTGTCGGTCAACTCTCGCATCCAAAATGAGCCTTTTAGCTTTGTGCTGCAGCCTCCACCTCTTTATCAGCTGCTTGGTTATTGTGTGTCGTGTCTTTCAGGCAGTCTGCATCTGTATTGTGTGAGACACTCCTGTGAGTGATGTAGTGAAGAGTATGAGTCAGTGGTGTATTTCTTTGTTGATGATGTGGTCAGCCAGGCCTCCTATTGTGGGCTGCATTCCTCTGTGGTGACGCCCCTCAATGTCCGCAGACAAACAGCACCTCCCCCCCTCTTTATCCGCCAGGGGTTACAGAGCTTTCACTTTGGCTTTTGTTTAGATAGCTCGCCATGCATGGGAATGTGGAGTTGCCATGACTATTTTGAAAGCTTTGCCATTGTTGTATTGTGCCTTCTTTGTAAGTTGAAAGGCCGTGGGGGAAGTAAAAATAAATGGCCATTGCAAACAGAAATGTATATGTCGTAATTAAAGAGTGGATGACAATTTGTTAAGATTTGTTGAGTTTTACAGTCGCAGCTAGTTAGATGTGCTATCCAAATGGGATTGTTTTGTCGCTGCAGCCTTGATGGCCAGAACCTGCAACACAGATCAGTTCCGCTGTGATGACGGCAGGTGCATCGCCTCATCGTGGATTTGTGATGGGGACAATGACTGTGGTGACATGAGCGATGAAGACCAGAGGCACAACTGTGGTATGCACTGTTACTTTACCTGTCTTTCCTCTGTATTCTATTATTTCTTCATGCTCTCATTTCCTTTGCTCTTGTTCTCCATATTTTCCTGACTTTGGCACCCCCAGCTCCCGGCATGCTTTTTGTATTCAGGATTTTGACACGCCACTGGGGGAGTGTTGTAGGGCGGCCAGTGCCCAGCATCTTAGTCTCTTGCAGAAGTTTGTCCAATTCAAGGAGCTGACATTCCTGATTTCTCCTGCCTCAGTCGTTACTTTGTGCATGTCTCCTTGCTCTGGGTTTCTGGCTCAGGGTGGATCAAGATTCCTATATCTCACCAGTGTGTGCTCCAAAAATAAGAGGCCTAAAGCTAAAGACTTTAGCACTGCTTGAGCCTCAGTAGGAGGCTCACTTCAAACAGTACAGTCACGGCTGTGTGGGTTGAAATACAGTTTGGAATGTTTGGATTTCCAAAATATGTCACCAACATTATTTAACTTCTTGTAAATCCTCGTGTCTGATCAAATTGTGTTCTCAGCCAATCGTACGTGCTCAAGTGCAGAGTTCACTTGTGTGAACAACCGACCGCCTCAGCGGAAATGTATTCCACGTGACTGGGTTTGTGATGGAGATGCAGACTGCGCAGACGCATTTGATGAGCATCAGAACTGTACGCACAGATCCTGTGGCATCAATGAGTTCACCTGTAGTAATGGTCTCTGCATACGCAGCTCCTACAGGTTAGATATAAAATATTAGAGACTACATTTGTAATGACTATTTGTGGAAAATTGCAGTTAATTATTTGCACTCTTTAAAAGGTGTGATCGTCGCAATGACTGTGGAGACAGCAGTGATGAGCAGGGCTGCACCTACCAGCCCTGTCAGTCACACCAGTTCACCTGCCAGAACGGCCGCTGCGTGTCACGTGACTTTGTCTGCGACGGCGACAACGACTGTGGGGACGAGTCTGATGAGCTTGATCACATGTGTCGTACTCCAGCTCCCACCTGCCCCCCTGGAGAGTTCAGGTGTGAAAATGGACACTGTATTTCGCTGAGCAAAGTGTGCGACAGGAATGATGACTGCTCCGACAACAGTGATGAGAAAGGATGCGGTGAGTGTGAAAAGATTTAAGCAATAAATCAGAAATCTGTGGCTGGAGTTTATTTCTGTTGTAAGACTTTTTTTTTTTTTTTTTTTTTTTTTTTTTTTTTTTTTTTTCTGTTCT